CATGATTTTGAATATGATCTTGGGTGGAATTCCATGTAGGCACAACAAACTAACCAAAATCATTTTATTTATCATGTTAAAACATAGAAAGAATTGTTATAACATGTCTATATAATAAATTTCCTGTACTTTCTAAATGAAAACTAAAGAATAATGTGAAAACAACTATACAAACCTCTTTCAAAATTTGACCTCCATATAGAAATACATTCATGAGGTTCAAAAAGCTTAAAAAAAGATCAAGCCATTGGTAAACCCACCCACTTCTGCAATTCATATGTATTACGTCCAAAAAAGAATTATAATTCCCTCTGGAAGGAGGGCACGTTTTTCAAGTAAGACAAGGTGTACATGTTGCCAGGACCATCTGAAGTGGAAAAGCAACATCCACAATTGGTTAGGGATTGCCAGTTTGCTGGCATTCAGCTGGGGGGCAGAAGTTTTGGCTCAGTGCGGCTGCAGCACCCTGCGCCCCAGCTGGGGTCACCTGCAAACGTGCTTTTTATGAGTGCAGAGCACACCAAAAGCAGGGTATGCCCGTTCCCCTTGCCTGCACCCCACTAGTAGGGGGTATGAGACCTACAGTAGGGCCAGGGCACAGCATCCCCACACCCGGCACCTGCCAAGCTCCTGGCAGCAGCAGGGGCAGCACAGCAGGAGGGTCCCAAACACAAAGTTCTACTCATGGCTGGCTGGTGCCCTCGTTCTTCTCTCATCTCCTTTCTCTTGCTTTCTCTTTTTTTTTCCTGGCCCAGCCCCCTCACTCCAATCCCCAAGAGACAGAACACAGTCTGGCGACTCAGGGACTCACGTAGGCCAGGCTTCCTTCTGTGCAGCCCTTTGGGTAGAGCTGCTAATCCTTCTTATTAATTAACAAGATAATAGCAGTTAACCGGAAAGCAATATTAATGCTAACTATCTAGGAAACTTCCAACAGAAATGATTTACTCTTTTTGCCAGTTTCCTGGTAACAAAGTCATGCAGCTGGAGCTGTGGCAGCATCTTGATGGTTTAAGATACTAAAAAACCAAGAATGCCTGAACAGTTCGGGACTAAAGACATCTGTGTCTGTTTTCTGCGCCACTCCCTGGATAGTTTAAAAGATCCTCTCCTCTCTCGACTCCAGAGTTTATTAACAGCTGGGAATGTGGGCTCCCCCAATTATATCACCCTTACATAAGGACAAAGGAGAGTGTAAACAGTAACATGACTGATCAGAGAAACATAGTCTGAGAGGCACATGCACTCAAAACACTTACAAATGTTAACATTTACATGTACCATTGCTTCAGTACTTTAAACTCACAAAGCATTTCTCAAGGTCTACTGTGCTTCATTCATATATGCTGAAATCCTTAACAACAAGTTAGGATTTTATTTTTGCTGCAAAAATAAAAGTAGAAGAGGTGATGCAGGATTTAGGAATGATGCAGACCAGGCACATTGCTATAGATATTTTATGTTTTAGAAAAAAAAAAAGTAAGGCAATTTTTAATTTTTTTTTTAATTACTGTAAGAGTAAGTAAAACATATATCAGAAGAAGGGATTTATATTATCTAGGTTCTGTTGCAGCAAACAAGTACTGCAGCTTTCATTCACTGATTGTCAAAAACTTTCCAATGTGCCCACTGCAATGCGGATGCCAACCAACGAATCAAAGGCATTCAGCAACTAGACAAAGAGGGTCTGATGCCAACCTCGGTGCCACTGGCAACCATTATTGGCATCAAGCACATTGTCTGCCTTTTTTTGTCCCTTCTCCTGGCACTCAACAAACAAAATGGCGGTTCTTGTAGCAACGGGAACACAGCATAAGCGCTGCACTGAATCAAATACCATCAAATGATTTTATGGACTGAAATACCAAGCGACAGACACTCTCCGATGCCTGACAGGGGGGGAAAAATATAAAAATAAAAAAGAGACAATTCTGTCAATAGAAACAGCACTCATGCCATTTTTGAGTTTGGGTTTTATAAAAGCTCTTTGTGGGATGTACTGATACACACAAGAAGCAGAGCCCCATAGAAGTGTCTTATGATCAAGAATTATTTTGACCTTAAACACTGATCACAGTGTATACTTCCCATTTTCTTCCTCCATTTCAGTCAAAGCAGCAGCATCACAAGGTATGACAATCCCCCTTTTTTTTTTTTAAGATGATAAATCACAAGAACATAGCAGAAAGAGCATGGAGGGGAAAAAAAGATCTGAATGTTGAGATAAGCAAAAAGTAGAATCAGAGAAAGTTGGTCAGTGACAGAACTTCATAGATCAATCCTAATCTCTTCTTTCAAGGCAGATATGGAAGTAGCGGCTCTTTTTGTTAAGAACTGAAAAGATTATTGACACTTCTAGATCTGGAAATTGTCAATATATTGTAACATTACTCTGCACTGCAATGCGGATGCCAACCAACAAATCACAGACATCCTAGGCTAAACAAAGAAGGTCTGATGCCAATCCTGGTGCCACTGGCAACCATCACTGGCACTCGAACTATCCTTCCTCCTCTTTTTTCCCTAATCTTCTTTTTTAAAGCAACAAAAAAGCAAACTACTTGGCCCCTTTATTCATCTTATGTGCTAATTCCTTCTTCATATTTTGTTCAGCGATTTAATTGTTTCAACGTCTCCACTTAGTTTTTACATTATATTATTAGGCATGTTTATATCTCCGGAAAGATAAATAAAAGACAAAACAACATATGTATAATGCAGCATTTTGGTTGACTTCATGATTATCTTTCACAAAGCGCTCTTAATCAAGTGCACTACAAAGTGCCACAATTAACTTGCTGTCAATGCGTACAGAGAATCAAAGTTTGAAAAAATGGGAAAAAAAATACATTGATAACTTAGTATGACTTCTTCAAGAAGAGCACCAACAGATGTTAATGGCAGATTTACTGTAAAGCAACAAGACAGATATAAAATACATGCAGTTTATAATAAACAAAAGGGTCTCCTAAGAGTAACTTGGTATACAGAAATTAGCCAGCTTCGTCTTCCAGTATATTCTCAAAGTACCATCATGTAACTTTGAAAGCTATAATATTACAGCATGCTTATCTCACTCATTTCTGATTAGACAAGTGTTTTAAATAAACTCATATTCTCAATCCATTTAAATCAATAAAATCAGCTATGCCCTGCAATTCCTTCTCCCACTTCAAGTTACTAGGTTCCAACAAATTGTAAGTCGACAGTGTGTTAAGAGTACTCTAACCCCAGATTCTTCGGCTCAAGAGCTGCTAAAACTGTTTTGCCTCCTTTTGCAGTTTTGACTTTTAGAAACAGGTAAATCCATAGAATTAATAAGTAAGCTATGCACTATATGCATTCAAAATATCATCTGAATTTTTTTTCCAAAAATGAGTTTAAAGGTACAAATTATTTCTAATTAAGCTATTTTGTTTAATGCTATCAAAAAAATCTTTCTTCCTATCAGATTTACCAGACTCTGTAGCTACTTAAAGTTGCTGTAAAATATCTAAATGTGTCTGCTGCTGTGGAGAGACAAAACCCTCAAAAAATACAAGTTAGAGATGGGAAAAACCAATACTTTTTTTTTCATGCCAAATAGTCCAAAAAAAAGAACCTGATTTATATGATCACTTAAACAGCGCTACACTTGCATGAGCAACTGCTAAAAGAGAAATTCACTTAAAACAAAAAGATTGTGTTTTGTATCCATTCTTTGAAAGAATAAGTACACATCAAATGAAGACTTGCAATTTTACTTTTTTGTTACTAACAAAATCAATTCCATTTGTTTTCCAGTTAAATCTTGAAGTTATTTATCGGGCATCAGATAACAGCCTGCCATCTGCCCTTCTGCAGGCCATTTCTGCCTACTACCAGGCCAAGTTGTGAAATGGCCCCACCATCTGCAGACAGTCAAACTTTCCACAGTTGAGATCTGCGGCTAAAAAATAAATGCTTTCTTACTGCTGATCAGTCAGCAGTACAAAGACACCTAGAAGATGGTATCATCACCAGAAAGAACTAAAATGATTCCTAATAGAGAAAACATATTTCAGAAGCTTTGGCATCAGAGAAAAAAAACCTCACCTTTATCAACTTACAGCTATTTACAACTTTAGGGAACCTGCCTATGAGTATTTTTATTGAATATTCAATATGACTAGTAGGGTTTTGCCCTTATACATGATTATCAGAAGCCCTGTTTTTATTTGCATCCTGCAGAAACTAAGTTTAAGAAGCTTTTGTATAGAGCTCCTGCAATTTTGCACATTTCAATTACCTGCCAAATGAAAGTATCTGAATGTGATTATGAATATATACTTTACATAGAAAATTATCTCAAAATATTATGACCTGGACCTTTGTTTTAAAGCTCACATAGGTAAGATAAGTTAGTGATGTAAAATATTAATAAAATATTATATATGCTGTAATTTTGATTCTAGTTGGTATTTACAAGAAATATATCTGTGCCAAAGTATTTTCAAGTTTTGTTTTATAGGCTTGAGAAAGTCTAAGGTTGCTCTTCCATATGATAGCAGATTCATCAGTTTAAGGATAACTTCTTGATTATTCGTAACTACAAAGACAGTAATAAATATTTGTAGTATGTGCAATTGCACATACCTTCATCTGTTACTAACACTACTGGAGGGGTTGGTTTTGGTGGTCTGGGTTTTTTTAAAAAAAGAATGTTTTCTGAAATCACAACTATATATTTCCACTTTTTGACCAAAAAAAGGCAACTTCAGTGGAATGAAAGCCTTGGTATGGGTCTCTCTTGAAAGAGAACAAGGCACGTATCAAACATGCATGTCATTTACACGTCTGTAGGAATATGTGTGTGTTTAAGTATATCTGTATACATGCTGACTTACAAATGGGTATGTACCCACATTATGTCTACAGACTACAGAATAATGTTCACTGGAAGCCAGCCCACAGGGGAAGCAGGGCTACTTGGAATCAGAGTTTGACATACTAACATAGAAATATGACAATCTGCTTCCTACCTTGCTCCTGCACGTAGTATGCCAAAAACAAATCAAGCTCCTTGACTGATACTGTTATGTGATGTGGCTGGACGCAAAGTGCTGGATTTGTGCAATGTGGGGATTTCATGAGACGTTCTCCATCCGTACTTTCCAAGGGGATGCCTTTGAACAGGATCACCATGACTAGATCCAGACGCCAGACTTTGTCAGCCTGTCGCAGGCAATCAATTCTCCTAATCTTGCCCTTCTGGTCAGGATTGGACAATACACAGCATGGGTGCTTCTTCCCAGTCACCGTGAGCACAAAATCCTCCCGGAACTCTTGGCGAATATCTTTGCGCAGCTTGGCCAGGAGTCTGGATGCCCACTTCTGTTTAATTTCAGGCTTTTCACTAAGAAGCTCATCCTTGACTGCTCTTTCCTCATCCTTTGACATTCGTTTCTCATGTTTTTTAAAGTACTTGCGTTTTCGAGCCTGAAGATTGAACCAAGTATAGGCAATTGCACGGACATGTGGAAGAAGTGCCTCAATGAACGGGTGAAATTCATCCTGTGGAAAGAAGTGAAGGAAAAAATGAAGAAGAGAAAAAGAAAACTGAAAGTCAGCATCTCATAACTGAAGCAGTATCAAGAAAGGTTTCTGAAAATCTTCAAGTGAAATACAAGACAAAGAGAATAAACACTTAAAAGTTACGCAAATTTCTGCATAACACCTTTTATGAAATTACTACTGTTGTCAGGCAGCAGGCGAGAACTGCATAGAAAATCACATTTTCCCCATATTTCATTCTTTGAAAGAACCATGTGAATATTTTATTTTATATGCCTCCCCTCACTTCATCCCACAATGCTGCAGAGACTACATAATTTAAAAGCAATGCTACCAAGAGGTTTGGGGTTTTTTTCCCTAACATTTAAATATCTGGGTGAACAGCTAACATCAAGAAAAGTACCATTGCACAAAGAGGACACTATACGGTTTTAAAAAATCTGAGCAGAAATGTTCAGAATGCTGAGGCGAATGCCACAGTTCATTTCTCTTCTCTGTGGCACAGAAACACAAAGCATATACATGCTCAGTGTAATGCCACAGAGTTCCCGCTTTTGGAGCATGCTCTCAGCAAGAGACTGCTGGTGGCACAAAGAGCATGCGCCATTAAACTTGATCCATTTTCTTATCAAACGTCCAACATTCCAGCACTGAAACAGCACCATTCCAGTGGTGGTAACTAGAGAAACCAGTATACAGTAAGGGAAAGCGGGCAAATGACACAACGTGTCATATACAAATCCTGAACAGAAGCTTCTGTACTTTCAGCTCTTTGGGCTTCCCTCCCACCATCCCTCAAACTCTGTAAAATTAGAGTATATGAAAGTGAGAAGAAAAATTACATTTATGTCCTTCCGGCAGCTCCACTGTGGGTTTTGAAGCCCCACGGAGTCAGTTAATTTGTTAACTGATCACGAGTGTGGCAATTATTCTAAACCCCTTAAAAATCAATCTGAGGTGTACAATGAAAAATGGCAACTTGGCACAAACTTTGCATTCTTTGTGTTTCTGCATGCTGTGGCAAAGAGACATTATGAGTCCACCGCTGGTCAAATGCTGCTTTTATGAAATCTGTGCAATTTATTTACAGTTTCAAAATATGCTTTTCTGTCATTTGGCTTCTCCTGCAAGTTCTTATCTTCTGCCTAGCAGCAACACGGATTGCATTAAGGAGGTAATGCTTAGTTGTTGTCTACAAATACATCCTATAGCAATTTAATTCATTTGATTTGTCTGACTAAAGTACCATCCTACACATCTGTGTTAATATCTAATTAGACTTTTCCCAAAAACTTCTTTTCCATGAACAAATCTGCTGTTTAAAACAGTGCAATCCACTTATCAGACATTACTGTATTTGGATTTGGAAGGAAGACCTTAGGGGAGGTATCTTTCTTCCTGTGTGCAGGCATATTTAGTTTTAAATACCATGCAGATTGCTCATCATACTGAGTGGCATGGTGCAATCAAACTAAAACTGAATCTTTTTTTATGTAATTATATTCAAGAATACAATTAACAAACTACTATTTTAGTTACGCTGCTAGACAAGGAATGAATTATGTTTAATCAATAGGCTGATTAACTCCATTAGGTAAAAATGATGAAAGTATAACTAATGGTCTCAATTATAGAGTGCAGACTGCCATTGTAGAAGCTTCAGGCAAAGGATTTCATGTTTAAATCTTCAAATTTCAAACAAACTTCAAAATTTCCTGAATGGTAAAAAAAAAACATTAGATCTAGTTACCTCTCTTCCCTAACTGTTCTCAAATCAATCAGAAAACAACAGAAAAGTTGCAAGCAGTCTACCTATGATCATGTTCTCTTCACAGGGGAAGAAAAAAAAAAAAAAAAAAAAGAAGAAAAGGGAAAAAAGAGCAGAGAGACAATATAGGAAGGTACTTCAGGACATAAACAATTGCATTACAATATGATGCTTAACAAAGACCCACAGAGGCAACAGTTAAACTGATTAGTAGTTTCCAGCACAGATTTGAACAATTCTGATACTACACTGGCACATAAAACTAGGCCGTGGAAAGAGTTAAACCACAATCTGTTCTTTGTGTGAGAAGGCAGTACTGCTCTGAGTAACCACAGCCCATGATAAGACTTCCCTATCTTCATATGCTTTCAGATGCCATGCTTTTTTTTCCCTTAATTATAACTACTGAAGAAAGTTTATTTTTTCTTCAATGGAAGTCATCTTAATTGAAGTTTTCAAATGAAAAAAAATAAATTTTGGAAAAATTAATGTAAGCATAAAGACTGCACAGTGTTAAATCCTTGCAATTCATTTTAGGCTGAATAAACAGATTTACTACAGACTTTGAAAATTCTAACAGCTGGGGCTAAAGGTGGGGTGAAGGCAGGTGACTGAAGAGCTTTGGGAGAAATTAATTTTTGTCTCAGTACAATGATTTCCCGTACATCTAAACAGACGTCAGCATTTAGAACTTAAACTGGCAATTAAATAAATGTGGACATATTCTACGCTACTAGAATACTGCACATCTAGTTTTGATTTTGAAGAACAGCATCATAAACTATTTCAGAATGGCTATGCCTTGAGGTAATGCACATAGTATTACCAATAATGACTTATAGCATTTTGCATTTATGAAAATTTTATAGGTAAGAATTCCATGGTTTAAATTCCAATCTGTAGTGGCGGAATGTTTCCTTTTCAAAGAAGAGGGGGGGGGAAAAACCAACAAACACACACCAAAAAACCCAGCCTTTTAAAAACTGTATTCAAGCTTTTCTTTCATAGTATCATTAAGTCCTAAAGATATTAATATAGGTGAAAGATTGTAAAGGAGAAATACTGCAAAGAAAATCCTGTTCTAAAGCAATTTTATCAAATATCTTTGAGCAATTCCTTGTGCACCGGGAGTCTTTTCAAATGAAATACTACTTGACAAGAAGTGTCCATAAAAATGATCCTAAATGAAGATTTGCAATTAATCACACACATTCTCCACTAAACTTCCTAAAAGGCACCTACAGAATTTTATTTTTTCCCCTTAATATTCATACAAGTAATATTAAATTATTTCTTGGGTTTTTTTATGTGGCACACATCCGAGCACCACAGTTGCTCTTGCAATAAAGTGATTTATGAAGGTAAGATTTTCAAATGTCATATCAAATGGCTCAGGTGAACTAATTCATACTGGCAATTTAAACTAAAATGGAAGTTACTATATAACATCTATGTAGCTTGTAAATAAAGGAAAAAATAGCAGTCATCCAATGATGATAGGCCAGATTTTCTTTTTGGAGAAGGTAAAGGGGATAGGCAGTACGTTTGTCCTATGTTCTACTTTTATAAACTTTGTTTCAATTCATCGAAGTTCAAACTGAGGACTGTTCAATAAATAAACCAGTCAGAAGCATATAAATTTTATACAGAAATCTTTGCTACATTTCTCTGCATGGATTTTCTCAGTGCCTGGTGGAACAACATATACAAGAAAAGAAAATACACCCTATTCTGACTTTCCAGACTACCATAACATAAAAATAAACCTCGGCAAAAATATTAGAAGAGAGCAAGCACTAAAAGGCATGCGGTAACTGCATCCTATTCATGCCTAAGCAAGACAGATAAACGCAGTTTACACTCATTCCAAAACACAAAGAGACAGGCATATGGGAAAGAGAGGAAGGGAGCCCCCAAAATTAAACTGCATTTCATAAGTTTTCCTCTTCCTTGGAGTTATTTTCACCCACCAAACTTTTATTGAAAATGTGATAGGTAACACTCAAAGTGCCAAGGTTTGCCTTAAAGCTGTATTTCAGATTTTAGACTTGTTTCTAAAAGGTACTTCAGCGCTACCTCAGCACAAACTGAACTACTGCTTTCCCAAGGAGCTCACTTCAAACAGGTGTTCTGTGTTTACTTTTACCAAAATATTTTCTTCTGAACATATACTACCACAGTCAACGTGCGTTACAAGAGCCCTAGAGACAGAGACCACCACAGAGAGCAGTTTTGGGTGCACTACTTTTATGCAGTCACAACTCAAAGTGAGATGAACCAATCTTTTTCTTTAAACAAACAAAGAATGCAACATATAAATTCTCATTGCCAGTTTAATTTTAATTTTTAATTTATGTATCATTCCAAGTGGGTAGAAAAAGGTTCCAAACTAAAACCAATTTGCTGCAACTGTGTTCCATATATGTATCACTAAGCGGGAACTGTCTCTGCTTGGCACATGATAGAGCGTGATTGTAAAATATTATGGAGAAGGTATCAACACACAAAAGCCAGGAACTGTTTGCATGTATTAATGGTTGTAGAAGTATGAT